TTGGCTCATGGACAGAATTTCAGCACAGGCCAAAGACAAATTTTATGCTTGGCTCGTGCAATTTTGAGAAAGAATCGAATCATAATTCTTGACGAAGCAACAGCAAATGTTGATCTTAGAACGGATGAAATGATTCAAAAGACGATCCGTGAGAAATTTTCTGACTCCACAGTTATAACCGTGGCCCACCGTCTTAATACTGTTATTGATTCAGATCGAGTGTTAGTTATGGATGATGGTGTCGCAGTTGAATTCGATGCGCCGTACTCATTGATGCAAAATAAAGACGGAGTATTCCGAAATATGGTCGAAGCATTGGGTCAACAAGAATACGATCGGTTACATTTAAGAGCGAAAGAGAAATATAATACGACCAGGAAATTAGACAAATAAAACTTGTTTACAATGCCAACAACAGCGCAATCGCTGGGAATGTTTATTGATTGATTTGAAGAAAACTTTAACGTTTGTTTGTAAAATGATTCCATCAAAGAAAATACAAAATGTTGCTGAAAATAATAAAAATTATCTAAATAATCTTTTTCAATAATTCTAGTTTGAGTTTTTAATAAGCGTCTGAGAAATTATGTTCATTATCGCTGTTAAATTTAAAGCACCTAATACATTGAATACATCGGAACATCACATTATAAAAAATTATCACAAAGAAAGAAAATATATTCGAATTTTTGCGTGAAATGATCATACGTGCTATCTCCCAAATGAGACGGCTAAAATGTCTTAATCTAATTATGAAAGATTAAAAAAAATCCCACATGTACGGAACAAAAAAGATAAGACACACGCAGTATAGATAATGGAATAAGAAGTTTTCTATTTGGGAGTTAACTAAGTTATACGCACACGATTTGTAACTTCTGTATTATCATGAACGTCAACATGAAATATATAATATATTGTTTGTAATTTTTGGACAACACATTATGTTGGTTTATAAAACCTGCTTCAAGTACACAAGTGATTGACAATTGATTTGTGATTTTCAAAACGTACGTTTTTGAATTTTTGAAACAGAAGTGGATGAGAGTTTGTATTGAATTATAACTATTCTGCGTGAATATCAAAAAGTGACATTATTACAGATCAATTTTAATGTTCTCGGCAACACTCATAAGAAAAAAATTTCCATTCCACGCGCACTGATTGAACTAAAAACATATTTTAGTGAGAAAAAGACACGTTTTTTCGCTTTTAAAATTTTCGGTTGTGAATTTTACAATATGTTGATCAATCCAGTTCATTGATGGTCACATTTTCTTTTTTTATCAGTCACGCGCAATTCACGAGAAAAACAATGTGAAAAGATAAAGTCATTTGAGAAACATGTTTTTCTTTTTCAAGCATAATAATTCTTTAAGCACGCTCTGCTCGCACTCCATTTAAAGCAATGTATTGGGTTTCGAACACGCAGATGTGCTGCCACCTGGTATCTCAAAGTTAAGCTGCTATAAAGCACATGCTTCTTGCAAATGAAGAAGAAGAGGAAAGCAATGTCTTTACATAGGGTTGAACTTATAAATGTCAGAGAGCAGCACAACTGCAGTATTCAAAGTGCGACTGCCCTTCGTCTTTAAGTGTGTTATCACTTACCAAAATTACAATTGTTTGCCTAAAAAGGAATTTAGTTTGTAAACATAGATCGTCGGCTGGTAACAGCACAAAAGTTGTTATCATTTTTTTTAAATATTGAACTATACACACACAGCACCCAGATTTGGAGCTTTTTTAATTGGCGGATGGGCTCTCTTAAATTTTATTTTGACCATGCCCATATATATTGAACAAAACTAACAAATTGTCATTTCTTTAACAAATTTAAGGATTTTGTGAAAAAATGGAATCTGCATATAGAACTCTTTCAAAAAACCCACGCCAATCAGCAAGTTGGATATCAATATTGACTTTCGGATGGACAATTCCAATGTTCAAAAGAAGTTATAACAAAGTGCTAAATGCAAATGATGTATTTGCACCGGTTGACGAGGATCACTCCGATAGACTGGGAGATCGATTGGAAAAGTATGATCGTTTTTTCAAAAAAAAAAAATCAGATTTCTATTGAACCGTATTCTATTTTCAACTTTAAACAATTGCTTCAGGAATTGGGAGATGGAGAAAAAGAAAGAAAAACCATCCCTAACACGAGCATTAGTCAAAACATTTTGGCGCCAGCTTATTATTTTGGGGTTTATGAGCCTTTTTTCCAATTGCGTATGCCAACTTTCGTACGCATTTATATTGAAAGGACTTTTATCGTGCTTTCGGTTGGTATTAATATTTGTTGAGTTTTATCATTGACGTAACTATGATTTTTGTATTAATTTTATCGATATAACAGTGGAAACTCTGTCGAATCCAATGATGATGCTTTAAATTATGGAATTGGTTTTGTAATTCTGACAGTTTTTTGTGGCGCCAGCTATATGCATCTCTTTTTTTATGACAATGTTAGCGGTATGAAAGTGCGCGTGGCAATTTCTAGTCTTCTTTATCGTAAGGTACGTGTAATACATATCGATTATTTTCAATTGTATTAAATTCGCATCTAATTAATTGTAGACTCTTCGATTGGCACAAAAAGCTCTTACCAACACTTCACCTGGAAAGTTAGCCAATTTACTTTCAAATGATCTTCAACGATTTAATCGTTTATTAATACATCCGCTGTGGGTGGCTCCTGTAGCAACGATTATAGCCACGTATATTTTATGGACGGAAATTCGCTGGGCTGCCATCTTTGGAATTATTGTTATTTTCCTCTTGGTGCCCATACAAAGTAATTTACTATTTACCTATCAATTTCCATTTAAATTAAACAACTTCATCTGCAGGTTACAGTGGAAAGTTGTTGGCCAAATTTCGACTCGAAACTGCTTTGCGAACGGATGAACGTGTTCGATTCATGGACGAAATTGTGTCTGGTGTTCAAGTAATAAAAATGTTTGGATGGCAGAGGCCTTTCGAGGGTCTAATAGCAGCTGCGCGACGCAGTGAATTAAAATTGGTTATAAAAAGTCTTTGTGTTAATTCCTTAAATCTAACTGTGTTCTTTTTCGTTAATCGTCTCGCCCTATTTTGCACCGTGCTATCATTTATCTCTTTATATGGCAGTGAAAACATGACCATCGCCAAAATGTTTGTGACATCACATCTATTCCATGTTATTTCTCTTACAATGTGTCGATTTTTTTTTCAAAGCCTCTCTGAATGTAGCGAGGCATTTGTCACTATTAAACGTTTACAGCGATTTCTTGAAAATGAAGAAAAGTGTGAAGTGAAAAGTGGACCAGATCATATAAGTTCAGATGAATTAGAATCACAAGATCTGTCCATTTTAATGAAGAATGTTACGGTCGAATGGAGTGCTGCTGGAATTCAAACCAATTCTTCGAAAAAAGACAAAGACAATGTTGAGAAAAATGCAAGTGAAAGTGTACCGTTTAGACTTCAAGGGCTCAATTTAGAAATGGCAAAAGGGAAATTGGTTTTTATCGTTGGATCGGTTGGATCCGGTAAATCGACGCTCATGCAAGTTTTATTAAGGGAATTGCCTCTGATCAAAGGCTCAATGGGAATTAATGGTACGATATCATATGCGAGCCAAGTCAATTGGACTTTTACATCGACCATTCGGCAAAATATCACTTTTGGACAATCAATAGATCGTTCACGGTACGATGAAGTCATTAAATGTGCTGCTTTGGCCAAAGACTTTAAGCAATTCGGTAGCGGTGACATGACAATGGTGGGTGAAAATGGAGCTGGTCTTTCGGGTGGCCAAAAAGCGAGAATCAAGTAAGATCATAGAATCATGCACAACCGTTTTATTATAATTACCTTAATTTCAGTTTGGCTCGAGCAATGTATCGAAAGGCCGATATATATTTAATCGATGACCCACTGAGTGCTGTAGATACCCATGTGCAATCACACCTTTTCAATGAATGTATTGGACCGAATGGATATTTGGCACGGAAAAATTCCACACGAATTTTGATCACACACCAATTGCATTTCATGAGCGAAGCAGACTGGATTGTTGTTATGAAAGATGTAATTAGTAATTATCATATAGTAGTATAGCATTGCAATATGGCTGTCCTTCTACTTTCAGGGAAAGATTGAAATACAGGGAGACTATGATTCAGTTTTGAAGAGTGGAGTCGATTTTACCAGCATGCTGACGCATCATAAAAACGATGAAGAAGAAGCAGATGATAGAAATGAAATTGAAAATATTCGCAAGAATTCGACATTGTCGAAAGGAAATTCAAATGAGGAAGTGAATAATGTGGAAGAAGACTCAAAGAATTTCGATGAACAAACTGCGTTGACCAAAGACTTGGAAGAATCATCAAAAGGCAAAATCAAAGGATCTCTTCTTTTGAATTACCTCAAGTCGTCAAACATTCCGTGTGCTATAGCAATTTTATTGACGCTATTTCTGATGTCACAAATTATTCTAAGCGTAGCCGATATTTGGGTATCGCATTGGTAATTACTGCTAAACTGAGTTTTGTTAGTGTGATTGGTCATGAGTGTTATTTTAAAATGAATTTTCAGGATTGGGATTGAAGAGGATCGAGCTTATGAAATAAAATCTACTTCAGCGAGAAATCTTACGTCTGTCGATGTTGTATCAGATTTATGGCCAACCGAAACATACGTTTTAATCTATACCGGAATAATGCTTTTATTGATAGATATATCTTCTTTAAGAGGAATTATATTTTCTATAGTTTGTACAAAAGCATCACAAAATTTACACGACAATATGTTTCACGGACTGATATCAACGAAATTGAAATTTTTCTATGAAAATGCAGTTGGACGCATCATGAATAATTTCACAAAAGATCTAGGCGCAATTGATGATGTTTTGCCAAAAACACTATTGGAAGAAGTACAAATGATTTTGATTATCAGTGGGTCAATAACAATTACCATATTCACAGATTTTCGGATTTCAATTGCTGTTATTTTAATGGGAGTAGTACTTGTTATGGTTTGTAATGCATATTTGAAATGTTCGAAGAATATCATGCAATTAGAAGGAAAAAGTGAGTAAATAATGCGATTGTCAAATGTGAATGCTTTGTATGTATATGCAAATTTTCAACTCATTGCAGCGAAATCTCCCGTATTCACGCACATTTCGGCAACATTAAACGGTCTATCGGTTGTCAGGGCATTTCAAGCTGAAGAAATTTTGCGAGATGAGTTCGATCGTCATCAAAATCTGAATACTGGCACATATTTCATGTTTTGGGGGACAGCAAATGCATTTGGTTTATCAGTAGATGTGATGATATATCTTTTATTTGGTGTTGTGGTTTACGTTGTCTTGGTATTAAAAGAAGGTTTGTCAGAAGTCCCGATAGACACCCGTGTGATCATTATTACATTATTATTATATTATTGAAATAAAATATTTGTTATAGGAGTGACTGGTGATCAGGTAGGTTTGGCATTAAATCAAGCATCTTTCTTAATTGGGACTTTACAATTTGCATTAAAATTAGGTAAGTATTTTCTCAGAATGTATATTCTGAGAATGAAGAATATACAACCTCTATCGATATCTAAACGATTGTATATTTTTAAATAGGCGCCAATGTTACAAATCAACTAACGTCCGTTGAGCGTATATTAGAATATAGTCAATTGGAGCCAGAGACACAGCCAGAAGTTCCGCAAAAAGTATCCTCAGACTGGCCATCAAAAGGAAAAATTGAATTCAAACAAGTTTCATATCGATATTCGGCTGACGATGAACCAGTTTTGCGTGGATTATCGTTCTCTGTGAATCCCAAAGAGAAAGTCAGTGTCGTCGGTAGAACTGGAGCTGGAAAGTCCTCGCTGATCAGTTCAATTTTCCGATTAGCAATCGTCGATGGCGACATACTTTTGGACGATGTCAACACCTCTTCGGTTGATTTGAATGTATTGCGATCGAGAATATCGATTATACCTCAGGATCCAACTCTTTTCTCGGGCACTTTGCGAAGGTAAATTGAGTATACCATATTGAAAATGCTTAGGCATTCAATTGAATTTATTCTCTTTTAGGAATTTGGATCCATTCGAAGAGTATTCAGATGCTGACATATGGAGTGCACTTGACAATGTTGAGCTGAAGGAATTCGTGTCGAAGAATAATGGATTGGAGATGGCCGTTTTGGCTCATGGACAGAATTTCAGCACAGGCCAAAGACAAATTTTATG